AGAAAGAGGAATCCTCTTAACTGCTGGTGCGATTGCCAACTTGTGCAGCCATTGTGGAAAACAGTATGGAGATTCCTCAAAAGTTAAAAATAGAACTACCCTATATTCCAGGAGTTGCACTAGTAGGTATTTATGCAAAGGATACAAAAATAGTGGTTTGAAGGGATCCATGCATCCTGATGTTTTTATCAGCATTATCAAAGACAGCCAAATATGGAAAGAGCCCAAATGTCCATCATCTAATGAATGGATAAAAAAGATGAAATATTTATACACAATGGAGTATTATTCAGCTATAAAAAGGAATGAAATGGTGCTGGAGAGTACTATGCTAAGGGAAATAAGTCAAAGAAATGGAGGGGAGGTAGGGGGGATGGGTTAAATAGGTGATGGAAATTAAGGAGAGCACTTGTGATCAACACCAGGTGATATATGGAAGTGATGAATCACTAAATTCCATACCTGAAACTAATATTACACTCTATATTAACTAACTGGAACTTAGATAAAAATTTGGAAAAGAAAAAAGAAAAACAATTCAATTAGTAGCTGACTGGTTGCTTTCTTTCCCAGCTCAAATTGTACTGAAATCCTATTAAAAATACAAGAAAGTCCAGATACTAGTTAAAATTTACTTTTGCTATCACAGCAAACAGTGGGAAAGTGTTCTGGAAATGAGAAAGTTACTTTGCATACAGCTGCTTAAAAACTGACTAGATGAGATGCTTTTAGTACCTTTCAAGGCCCTGTTTAAATCTACTGGTTTCTTCCTTATATATCCTTGTTACTGGAAAAATATAGTATTGTCTATACCCTTGCAAAGAGTAGCAATTTTTGTAAATTAACATTTAATGCTAATCAATATTCTTAGTAATGCATAAATTAATGTCCTGGGTAATACAATGTTTAGAGATTGTTGTTTATTCTAAAAGACATTCAATTTCCTATGTGAATATTAAATATATAAATGGAAAATTGAATATTAAATATATAAATAAATGTTAAATATATATGTGGATATTAAATATATATTAAATATATAAATGGAAATATGTGAATATTAAATATATAAATGGAAAATTGAATTGCATTCAGAGAGATGAGGCCCTGCCATAGTGTTTGTATTTCAAGCACAGTATAACAGTAAAGCTAGCCTACATTTGAGATCCATGGGCAGTCTGAATTAGAAAGCATTACCCACCTATGCTTCTGGCAGAGGAAGTAATTTTGGAGGAAATCTTGCTGTTAAGTAGCCAGAATGGTGTGTTAATAAAGCAGCAAAGTATTTTCATTGTGGTTAAAAAGTAAGGAGAGTCAGATTTTGAGATATAGACACAAAAATGAGTAATTTGAAGATGATAATTATTTTTAAAAACTAACATTTATTTAACACTTATTGTGTATTAGGCACTTTCTCACAACATTTCTATAACGTAGGAGTTGTTATCATCCCCATTTACAGGTGAGGCACCTAAGGCATTGAGAGGTCAAGTAAGTTACCCAAATCTCAAGACAGAAAGTGATAGGGGAAAATTTGAATTCAAATATCCTAACACTAGAGTCTGCACTGCTTCAATCACTGTACCATATTATAAGCAAACAAACCTCTAGAAATCATGAACAAGCACAAGAAGAATTCATTATGAACTGTGGTTCTAGCAGCATGATTGGTTAAATAACCAAAAAATCCTCCTACTACCTAGTACTGGTAGATAAAATGTGACATTTTAAAAATACATAGGTGGCATACATTCATAATAGATAAATACATAAAATATAAGTATAGAAAAACACAGGTGCCAGAAACACAGGCAAAATTGAATTCCAGAACAGGAAGTATGGGGGCTGAAATGACAGCTAGCCTTGGGGAGACTGTCAGTTCTAATAACCTAGGGGCTCCTTCAGTCTGTATGCAGCAGGAAGCTAGAACTGAGACCCCTGCATTAAGCTAATACCCACAAAAGTCTTGGTGAAATCACAGATAGAAAAAAACCAACTCAATGCATAAGGAGACAGGAAGGAAGTTTTTTTATTCCTGTCTTACATCCAGCTGAGAAAAAAATCTCCTGGGAATCTGTAGCCATAGATTTGTAGTTCATGCAGCTTTAGGGTGCAAGTTTTACAGTATGTGAGCCAGGAAACTCCAAGCTGAGAAATTAACAGGTATTGGACCAGTAATACTCTCAGGAATCTTGGACAAAGTAAGGACAAAGCAGAATTGCAGCTTGGGCCAGAGAAATGAAAAACTCAACCCCTAGAGATTTTTGGGGTAGGGGTGAGAAAATCTCTTTGGCTAAAAACACAATACCTTTACCAACATTTGCCTAGTAGAAATCTCTTACTCTAGGAGACACCTCAACTCATGGTAAGACGGACTCAAGCACTAAAGGCATGGTGGAAGAAGAGACATGCCCATTTCCAGTGGCTAATACCATTTAGCTCAGTCCCCATTGTTAGACCCATGATATCTGGCATTCAAGCAAATATTATGAGATATTTAAATGAGCAAGGGAAAAAATGCCTAAATGTTCTCAGGAGACAAAGAAAGTAACAGAAACAGAATCATAGATAACACGAATGTTAGAAATAGTAGACAAGAAATTTTAAAATAGGAAGGAGCAAGATGGCGGGGAGTAGGAGACTGGGATATCATCAGGTCCCAAGAGTTCAGCTAGATAGTTATCAAACCATTTTGAACACCTACAAACTCAATAGGAGATAAAAGAGAAGAAGAGCAGCAATCCTAGGAACAGAAAATCGACCACTTTCCAGAAGGTAGGACGTGTGGAGAAGTGAATCTGAAGTGACGGGAAGATAGACTATGGAGGGAGGAGGGGCCAGCTCCTGGCAAGTGAAAGAGCAGCAGAACACCAAATTGGAACTTTTAGAAATCTGCTCCACTGAGGACATTACTTCAGAGGCTAAATGGGGGTGGAGCCCTCATGGAGACAGTGTGGTCTCAGGACCTGCGGGTTCACAGAAGGACCAGGGGTGTCTGAGTGTCACAGAGCAACCAGGTATCAGAGCAGGGAAGCCGGCTGCAGGGACAGAACCAAGGAGTGGGCTCTCAGCTCAGGGTTATCTTAAACCATGATCTGAGGCACAGTTGGGCCACTGCTCTTTGAGACGGTACCCCACAAGCAGCAGATCTGGGGAGAACCCCTTCTTCATCCTCTGGGAGAAATGGCGCAGGAGCACACTGCAGGAGACTGCTCAGTTTGGAGACTCCAAAAGGGCCCATGCACCAGAGATAGAAACAACTGGTCACAAGCTGGGTGAGCATGAAGTATGGCCAGAGATCAGGGGGATGGGAGTGACTGGCTGCTTTTCTCTGAGGGCACACTGAGGAGTGGGACCCTGAGCTCTTGGGTCTTCTGGGGCTGGAGATTGGGAGGCCACCATTTCATTCCCATCCTCCAAAGCTGTATGGAAAGCATTCAGGGAACAAAAGCTCCCAAGAGCAAACCCAAGCAGATTACTTAGCCTGGCTCCTGGCAAGGGCGGTGCAATTCCGCCTCCGGCAAAGACATTTGAGAATCACTGCAACAGGCCCCTCCCCCAGAAGATCAGCAAGAATATGCACCCAAGACCAAGTTCACTGATCAATGAGAACTGCAGAACTCCAGAGCTAGGGAAAAGCAACAGAATTCATGGCTTTTCCCCATGATCCATTAGTCTTTCAAAGTTAAATTAAAAAAATTTTTTTTCTTATTCTATTTTTAAAAATTTTTCCTCTTTCCTATCTAATATTTTAAAACTATTTTATCAATACCTTTTAAAAAATCTTTTAAAATTTTCATTGTTATAGTCATATTTTATCCCATCATTGAATTTAACCTTATTTCTTGTATACATATAGGGTTTTTTTTCTTTAAAATTTTGGGATACAATTTCTTCTAATAGATAAAAATATACCCTAAATCTAGCACATAGCTTTGTTCTAGTCTCCAGCCCGACCACATTCTTTCCTTTTTTTTCCTTTTCTCAACCAACTTCTTATCATATCAATTCCTTTCTTAGAATCTTTTTAAATTTTCATCTTTATAGTCATATCCCATCCTTTCATCATGTTTACCCTTATTTTTGTATATATATGTTTTTTCTTTCTTTAAAATTTTGGGAGGTAGTTTCTTTTAACAGACCAAAATACACCCAAAATCAATCAAGTGTGTGGTTCTGTTCTATTCGCCAGTCTAAAATATATCTATATCTATATCTATATCTATATCTATATCCATATCCATATTTTTTTTTCTTCCCCTCCATTCCCCCTACCCCCGGATTCAGGTCTCTTCTGATTTGGATAGTGTATATTATTCTGGGGTTGTTTTTACCCTTTTAGTATTTTGTTCTCTCAATCATCTATTCTTACTTGGATAAAATGACAAGGAGGAAAAACTCACCACAAAAAAAAGGACAAGAGGCACAACCAATGGCTAGGGATCTAGTCAATATGGACATTAGTTACCTGTGAGAGCTAGAGTTCAGAATCACGATTATCAAGGTGCTAGCTGGGCTCAAAAAAAGCATGGAAGATATTAGAGAAACACTTTCTGGAGAAATAAAAGAACTAAAATCTAACCAAGTTAAAATTTAAAAAGCTATTAATGAGGTGCAATAAAAAATGGAGGCTCTAACTGCTAGGATAAATGAGGCAAAGAGAGAATTAGTGATATAGAAGACCAAATGATAGAGAATAAAGAAGCTGAGCAAAGAGAGACAAACAACTACTGGACCACAAGGAGAGAATTTGAACCACATTGAGATACCACCTTACACCAGTTAGAATGGCAAAAATTAGCAAGACAGGAAACAACGTGTGTTGGAGAGGATGTAGAGAATTTGAGAGATAAGTAATACCATAAGAAAAAACAGTATTAGAATAATTGGGATTCCAGAACAAGAAAGAGAGAGAGGGGTAGAAGGTATACTGCAGCAAATTACAGCAGAGAATTTCCCTAATTTGGCAAAGGGAACAAGCATCAAAATCCAGAAGGCAAGAGTAAAAGGACAGTCTTATTACTTTAATCAAGTTCCAGAAAGAGGGCATACTGCTTTGGAAAGCACCTGTCTCAGCAGAAGACGCAAGAGTGTGTGTAAAAGTATGTTTCTAAAAAAGACCAAAGGCACCAAACATAACCCCAACTTTGCCTTCCACTTCCCCTTGATGCCACTGCATACCCTGGGTGGGGAGGCTACTTCGTCCAGCTGACTTTGGGAATGTCATAGTGCTCCGTGAGGGTGTCCAGGTGTCTGTTGAAGTCCTCCACTCTCTGCTTGTGGGTTTTGGATGCTTTCTTTAGGATCCTTTCCATTTGCCGCTTCTCTTGCATCTTCTCGAAGGCCGCCTGGGCCGGGGTTCGTTTGTCCAGGCCGCGCCTCTTCTCCTCCTCGTTCTTTTTGCTCGTTCCCATTGCTTCCAGGAGTTTCGCCTTGTCTTTGTCCTTCTTTTTCTTCTTTCGCTTGGTGATGCCAAGCTCTGCAACGCCTTTTAGTTTCAGGGGCCCCTTTTGAACTTGCTCGTAGGCCGCCATGATGCCGCTCGTCGTTCTGTAGGTAAACTGCCACACTCAAAAGCAATAAAAATCATCTAATAGTAAAATTTACAAGTCTCAGTGACAAAGAGAAAATCCCGAAAGCAGCTTGGGACAAGAGGTCTGTAACATACAACAGTAGAAATATTAGATTGGCAACCTATCCACAGACACCTGGTAGTCCAGAAAGGACTGGCATGATATATTCAGAGCACTAAATGAGAAAAATATGCAGCCAAGAATACTATATCCAGCTAGGCTGTCATTAGAAATAGAAGAAAAGATAAAAAGCCTCCAGGACAAACAAAAATGAAAAGAATTTACAAACATCAAACCAGCTCTACAGGAAATACTGAAAGAGGTCCTCTAAGCAAAGAGAGAGCCTAAAAGTAACAGACCAGAAAGGAACAGAGACAATATAAATTAACAGTCACCTTACAGGCAATACAGTGGCACTAAATTCATATCTTTCGATAGTTACCCTGAATGTAAATGGGCCAAATGCCCCAATCAAAAGACACGGTGTATCAGAATGGATAAAAGAAAACAAAAAACAAGACCCATTGATATGCAGTCTACAAGAAACTCATTTTAGACCCAAAGACACCTCCAGATTTAAAGTGAGGGGTAGAAAACAATTTACCATGCTAACGGACATCAAAAGAAAACTGGGGTGGCAATCCTTATATCAGATAAATTAGATTTTAAGCCAAAGACTATAATAAGAGATGAGGAAGGACACTATATCATACTTAAAGGGTCTGTCCAAGAAGAAAATCTAACAATTTTAAATATCTATGCCCCTAACATGGGGCAGCCAATTATATAAACCAATTAATAACAAAATCAAAGAAACACATCAACAATAACACAGTAATAGTAGGGGACTTTAAGACTACCTCACTGAAATGGACAGATCATCTAAGCAAAAGATCAACAAGGAAATAAAGGCTTTAAATGACACACCAGACCAGATGGACATCACAGATATATTTAGAACATTCCATCCCAAAACAACAGAATACAACACATTCTTCTCTAGTGCACATGGAACATTCTCCAGAATAGATCAATTCCTGGGTCACAAATCAGGTCTCAACTGGTACCAAAAGATTAGATCATTCCCTGCATATTAAAAGACCACAATGCTTTGAAACTGGAACTCAATCACAAGAGGAAAGTTGGAAAGAACTCAAATATATGGAGGCTAAAGAGCATCCTACTAAAGAATGAATAGGTCAACCAGGAAGTTAAAGAAGAATTTTAAAAATTCATGGAAACAAATGAAAATGAAAACACAACTGTTCAAAATCTTTGCGATATAGCAAAGGCAGTCCTGAGAGGAAAGTATATAGCAGTAAAAGCCTTTCTCAAGAAACAAGAAAGGTCTCAAGTACACAACCTAACCCTACACCTAAAGGAGCTGGAGAAAAAACAGCAAAGAAAGCCTAAACCCAGCAGGAGAAGAGAAATCATAAAGATCAGAGCAGAAATCAATGAAATAGAAACCAAAAGAACAGTAGAACAAATCAATGAAACTAGGAGCTGGTTCTTTGAAAGAATTAATAAGATTGATAAACACCTGGCCAGAATTATCAAAAAGAAAAGAGAAAGCACCCAAATTAATAAAATAATGAATGAAAGAGGAGAGATCATAACCAACACCTAAGAAATACAAACAATTACAAGAACATATTATGAGCAACTATATACCAGCAAATTTGACAATCTGGAAGAAATGGAGACATTCCTAGAGACATATAAACTACCAAAACTGAACCAGAAGAAATAGAAAATCTAAACAGACCCATAATCAGTAAGGAGATTGAAGCAGTCATCAAAAATCTCTCAACAAATAAGAACCCAGGACCAGATGGCTTTCCAAGGGAATTTGATCAAAACTCTTCATTGTGTAGGGATCAAGGGTACATACCTCATTATCATCAAAGCCAACTATGAAAAACCCACAGCAAATATCATTATCAATGGGGAAAAACTGAGAGCTTTTCCACTAAGGTCAGAACATGGCAGGGATGTCCACTATCACCACTGCTATTCAACATAGTACTAGAAGTCCTGGCCTCAGCAATCAGATAACAAAAAGAAATAAAAGGCATCTGAATCAGCAAAGAAGAAGTCAAACTCTCATTCTTTGCAGATGATATCCTACTTTATGTGGAAAACCCAAAGACTCCCACTCCAAAGCTGTTAGAACTCATACAGGAATTCCATGAAGTGTCAGGATATAAAATCAACGCACAGATATCAGTTGCATTTTTATACACAAACAGCAAGACAGAAGTAAGAGAAATTAAGAAGTCGATACCATTTACAATTGCACCCAAAACCATAAGATACCTAACCAAAGAGGCAAAGAATCTGTACTCAGATAACTATAAAGTACTTATGAAAGAAATTGAGGAAGACACAAAGAAATGGAAAAATATTCCATGTTTATGGATTGGAAGAACAAATATTGTGAAAATGTCTATGCTATCTAAAGAAATCTACATATTTAACACAATCTCTATCAAAATACCATCAACTTTTTCAAAGAAATAGAACGAATAATCCTAAAATTTATATGGAACTAGAAAAGACCCTGAATATCCAGAGGAGTGTTAAAAAAGCAAGCCAAAATTCATGCCATCACAATTCCAGACTTAAAGCTCTTTTACAAAGCTGTAATCATCAAGACAGTATAGTACTGGCCCCAAAACACACATTCATCAATAGAACAGAGAGCCCAGAAATGGACCCTCAACTCCATGGTCAACTAATCTTTGACAAAGCAGGAATGAATGCCCAACGGAAAAAAGATAGTCTCTTCAACAAATGGTGTTGGGAAAATTGGACAGCCACATGCAAAAGAATGAAACTGGACCATTTCCTTGCACCACACACACAGAAAATAGTCTCAAAATGGATGAAAGACCTCAGTGTGAGACAGGAATCCATCAATATCCTTGAGGAGAACACAGGCAGCAACCTCTTTGACCTCAGCCACCCCAACTTCTTCCTAGGAACATCGCCAAAGGCAAGGGAAGTAAGGGCAAAAATGAACTATTGGGACTTCATCAAGATCAAAAGCTTTTGCACAGCAAAGGAACAGTCAACAAAACCAAAAGACAACCAACAGAATGGGAGAAGATATTCTCAAATGACATATCAGATAAAGGGCTAGTATCCAAAATCTATAAAGAACTTATCAAACTCAACACCCAAAGAACACATAATCCAGCCAAGAAATGGGCAGAAGACATGAACAGACATTTCAGCAAAGAAGACATCCAGATAGCCAACAAACACATGAAAGAAACACTAAAGGGTCAAAGGTAGTATTATAATTCCATGAGGAAAGGATGAATATCTCAATAAACAGGGACACAGTGCTGGGGTACATGGCTATCATTATAAAAAAAAGTAAAATAAAATTAGATTCTTAATTTTTATCATACCCAAAGATACAAAAAAGAAGCATCAGTCCTAATTTCAAAAAGTACATTGTTTTCCCAGCTTATGACTCTGAGAACTATATCTTGACCTCCAGTACCCATGTTTGTTACTATAATGGTTTGGCCCCAAGCCATAGGTAACTAAACCTAGGGTGGATATTTGTCCCAAGCTAAACCAATCAGTTTTTTCTGTCACAGGAACTTGAAGTTTGACTTGATGGTCCTGGTTAATCTATACTTTTCAACTGATGTGTTTTGTGAACTTAGGAACTGAGGCTTCCATAGTGAACAGCCATATGCACAGGGGAACAGAGACAGACCACAACATTAGAGATAGACTAATGAAGCAGCTGTGCAGAGAATAACACAGAAGATTGTTCCTACACCCTGAGGGACAGAAAACAGATCAATTTTCACCTTCCATAGGCCTTGTGGCCCTAACTTTCTCTGAGGTACACTTATGATAGTCTAAGGTACACTTAAGACAGAATAACCAAAACAGTGAACATTAGCTACATTACTGGGTTTTTCTATCAGGAATTAGACAGGAGACTAAACCTCTGTGGCCACTTATATTGGTGTTAATAAGGATGACACCCATAGATGACTAGACTGGGCGCAAGTGGCAAGAACTGAAATTTGAACTATAAGGACAGAGAGTAATCCTTTAAAAGTCAACCAGCCCATGGCCTGTGGACCAGCTGGTCCACAAATAACAGGTGGAAAGGGTGACTCTATTGAAATATTACTTTATTAGGAGAGCCTTTCTGCCAGAAATTGACAGATTGTTGTCCTCAATTTACATATGACCCTGAAACCTCTGGTTTCCTCAAATTTTAATTAAGATACATATAGACCAACAGCATTTTCTGAACTGCAATTTTAAAAATCCGAATAGCCACCAATGCATTGAAAGGAGTTCTAAAACAGAATTCTAAAAACTTGGAGTATAATATTCTGTTAAGTAGAACTTTCCCTGCCCTACCAGAGAACATATTTTTTTGAACAGCTGAATATACTTTCTCAGATTATGATAAATTTACTATAATTATCTGAAGTCTCAATCTAAGAATGTTCATACTTAAGCAAAATTTGAGAGGATAAACACTCAAAATATGATCATACACATCCTTATTTTATTAAAACAATACTGTCAATATAAAGGAAGCTTAGATGTCTTGAAGTAAGGTTTTCAAAGAATATAAACAAACAATAACTCAGACTCTCAAAATGTAAGATGTCTTTATATGTGTTTCATATTCCACAAGACGACTAAAATTTCCATTACAGTTTTAAAGGTAATGAATGTAATATCCTATTCCATGCACTTCACACAGTAATTAAAAACAAGGATTTTGAAGTTAAATGACCTAGATTAAAATTCTGACTCCACCATTTTAGGTCAGTTATCTACTAAATTTCAAATTATTAAATCACTGCAGGCCTCAATTTCCTCATCTGTAAAATGGAATAACAGTAATGTCTAACTCAGGAATTTTTGAGACTATAGGGCACTTATAGAAGTACCTCATGTATGTAAGAGCTCAATGGTATTAATATATATGAGATAA